ATTTCATCCAAACTCGTCAATTTCTTTCTTTCAGTCAGCAGTAGCAAAAGGAGGAGGAGAAGATGGAAGGAGGAGGTAGCAGGAGGAGGAGGAGGAGGAAGGTTTCCTCACCGCCTCTCGCAGTCTTCCCAACGTTGGCAGCAACCTGATTGCACTCTCCTCCTCCTTTGCCTGCGCTGCCTGCACCAACATGTATTAGGAAAGAACATATGCTGCTGCTGCTGCTGCTGCTGCTGCTGCTGCTGCTGCTGCTGCTGCTGCTGCTGCTGCTGCTGCTGCTGCTGCTGCTGCTGCTGCTGCTGCTGCTGCTGCTGCTGCTGCTGCTGCTGCTGCTGCTGCTGCTGCTGCTGCTGCTGCTGCTGCTGCTGCTGCTGCTGCTAATCTGCACTGTTTTGTTATCCCTTTCCTCTCCTCTCCTCTCTTCTCGTCATTGTCTTCCTCTTCCTCCTCTCCCCCCCTCATCCTCTCACCAGCTGCTCCACCAGCTGCTTCGCGTCCTTCACGTCCGGTCGCTCCCGCTGCTCCTCCTCATCCTCGAGGACGAGCACGTCCACCACCATCATCGCGTCCGAGACTGAGAAGGAGCTAGTGACCTCCTCCTTCCTCAGCTGAGCCTCCTGCTTGTATAGCCCGATCACCCTCACCCTCTCCTGCTTCCAGCGATTAGCTTCTCCCTCCTGTTCCTCCTCCTCCTCCTCCTCCTCCTCCATCTTCGTTTCTCCCTCCTCTTCCTCGTCCTTCCCCTCTCCCTCCCCCCGACCTGAGACACTCCCAAGGCCGTGCAGACGTCCTCGACGAGCTTCTGCTGCCTGTCGCCACGTGAGCGACAGACGACAAGGGGAGGAAGAGAGCGACAGAATCTTGCGGCGGAGGACAGAGCCGGCCATCCGGTCATAACTCTGCTAGGCAGTGAGGAGAGAGGAGCAGAGGAAAGAGAAGAGGAGGAGAGAGGAGGGGGGTAACAAGAAAGACCTCATCAAATAGCAGCATGGCAGCAGCAAAGGGGCTCCGCTCTCTCTGACTCGATTCTCCAGTCCTCCTCCTCCTCCTCCTCGTTGTCTCCTCTTGCAGATTCTCCACCCGAAGAGATTCTGCGGTCTGAACTGCCGCGTCGCTCCTCTCCTCAACTCCTCCTCTCCTCTGCACGTCCCCCTTCCGCCTCCTGCGCAGGCTCAGCAGCTGCCGGCAACACGAGGGGACGCACGTAGAGTCGAGGAGAGCGAAGAGGTGGAGGAGGTGACGATGGACCACAGGAGAGGAGCGAGCGGCGTGATGTCGCCGCAGCAGCTCGCGAGCATGGGGATCTGCCGGGCAAGAGAAGATGAGGTAGGAAAGCGAAATGATGAGTGGAGCAGAGGCGAGGCGAGGCGAGGCGAGGCGAGGCGAGGCGAGGCGAGCGGAGGAGAGGAGAGCGGAGGAGAGGAGAGGAGAGGCGAGGGAGAGGAGAGCGGAGGAGAGGAGAGGAGAGGAGAGGAGAGGAGTTGGGAGGAGAGGAGAGGAGAGGAGACACATATCAACTAGCCTGCTGTTATCGCTTCCTCCACATCTGATAGTGTAGCGATCTAGCTCATGTCAGTGACAGCAATCAAACCCTCTGTTCCTCCCTCGTTTTCTCCTTCACCTCCCTCTACAACTCTAACGCCCCCCCCTCCTTCCCCCTTCTTCTCTCATCTCCCCATCCTCGACCTCCTCTCTTATTCCCAAACTCCTCCTCCTCCTCCTCCTCCTCCTCCTCCTCCTCCTCCTCATACTTGAATGTCGTCCACATGGTTTGTAGTTCTCAGCACCAGCACGCTCCTCCTTGCCAAGGAGCTGCTGCCGTCTCCTCTCCCGTCCTTGATCGCAAGCTTCACCTGCGTCCCCTCCAGCCCTCGCACGAGCTCCCGCACGCCCGTCATTCCCATCCCTCTCGTCTTCACCCCGTCCACCTCCTCCAGCAAGTCTCCCAGCTCTGCCACTCGCTCCAGCTGCCCGCCACGGTTCATGCTGACGATCTCGAGAGGGTCTCAGCAGAGGAAGGAGAAAGCAGCAGCACCTGAGGGAACTCAGCTCCTCGCTGCTCTAGCTGTACTTGGATGCCGCTGTCCACGTCGGAGACAGCAGGGAGCCTGCCGTGAGCGTCGAGGAGAGAAGAAGGAGCAAGAGGAGGAGCAAGAGGAGGAGCAAGAGGAGGAGGAGGAGAACGAGGAGGAGAGGGGTGCAAGTATGCCATGCTGCTCATGCTGGCATCTCCTTTGCTTGTGAGCATGGTCGTCTCTTCAGCGCGCGCTCTGTCATACTCGAACCCTTCCCTCCTCCTCCTGTCGCTCAGGTCGGATCGCTGTAAGAACTCGTTGGCCCTGGCATGGAAGGAGGAGGGGGCGGAGGGAGCAGCAGGGGTCTCTGTAAGGATCGGCGTCTCGCTCCACCGCCTCGACTGACACACAATGAGTGGACGTCAGGCAAGTAAAAGAGCTACCCCAAGCTCCTTCCCCGCCAGGTATCGAGCTGCTTGCGCCAAGTCCCACTGGTCCTCCTTCTCCTCCTCCTTCGCCACCTTCTTCTCTTCGTGTTTCACTCGCGGCTCTCGACTCGCCTTGACCTCATGGCCTTGCAGGCTGAGACCTGTCGCGGTGAGGATGGAGTTGCGAAGCATAGAGGAGGTTCGAGAAGTCAGCTCGTTGGCTCCATGCTGAAAATTCTGAAGTCAATCTCTCAGCGACTCATCAGGTTCTCTCCTCCTCCCTCTCTCCTCCCTCTCGCCTCCTGCTTTGAAAACCGCGCATGATGTAGTTTGACCTTTTTCTTTGTTCTAGCTAGTACCGTAGCTGATTGTCCTCGTACTGATTTTTAACTTAACTTTGAGTAAAGAACCGTAGAGTAGTTGGATCCGATCCGAGTCACTCGGATCCGGTCAGACTCCTCGGCCCTCAGGCTGATCGCTCAGCCGCTGGGCAGCCTGGCCGGGCACCTGCAACTCCACTGAGATTCTGGATGGACACAGTCGCGACTGAGCCTGCAGAGAATGAGTGTTTGACGGACATGCGAGGTGAGGTCAACTGCTACGGTTTGAGCCTCTTGTTCGAAGTGCGGCATCTACATGTTCTGATCGCTCTACAAGAACTCACGATTGGCAGTTGTACAATGATTCATTCACGTCTACAGGCTCTCAGTCTTGGAGGAACTTGGGGATTGTACCTGCTCTCTGGTATCCAGAGTCTTCGAAAAACAGTACACCCTGGTAGCTTCCTTTGCTCACTTGAGTTGCTCACTTGGTTACGATATGAGATTGCAGTGTGCGAACATGTTCACTCGGTCTGATCGTTAGTTACATCCTTACTTTATTCGTCACCGAATGTCACAGGTTTACGAGGAGTAGGTGACAAACTCAGCAGCAGCCTTGGTGACGGCGGTACCAGCGCACCTGCAAGTGAAGTGAGAAGACAACACTCCATCCTCCCCTTCCTTGCTCCTCCTCATAGCTCCCTTTTCCTTCCTCCTCTGCCAGCGCTCACATGTAGGAGATGTCATCGCAGTTGGAGTTGGCGACAGAGTCAGAGTAGCTCTGCATGGCGCTAGCTGGGGGAGCTGGCTCGACGATGTCGGAGATGGAGAGCGACACAAACTGGCGGATGGTCTGCAAGAAGATGGTCAATTGCACGTCAGACAACAAGCTCATCATGTCTGCACGTAGTCTGGAATGAAGACCAAGGACAGATGAAGCCGAAGATTTGAGTAGAAAATGACAAGAGCAACACAGTAGGGGTTGAGACTTAGTCTCAACCTCTCAGGCACAAGAGCAATCCCGTAAGGAAGGAGGAAGGAGGAAGGAGGAAGGAGCGGGAAGAAGGGCGCGGCACAGAGCATGTGGCGACATGGCGGCGGTACCTGGAACATGGCGATATCGGCCTTCTAGTCCTTGAGAGCGATAAGAGGAGTCAAAGTAGTCTGGGGGTAGGGTGGAGCAAGGCTCAGACGTATGGGTGGGTACTGGGGTGGGATTGAAACGACCTTCTTGTGCGTATGCACCAGATGATGTAGGGTGGGGTAGACGAATTTGACCTTATATGGGGGTACTTTAATTGTGAAAAGAGGGGGTGATAGTGGAACTAAGGTCCAGAAGTGGAGCCGGGGTGGGGTTATGGTCCTAATGAAGTCAACGTGGAGGGGTAGTGACAGTGGGCCGACTCCGGTGAAAGTTCAATTTAAGACTGAAAGGAGGGGGGTGGGGTACTGGAGAGAGGGCGGCACCAAAAGCGTACCTTGGAGGAACTGGGAGGAGGGGGTCATTGAAGCATGAGATTGAGGTAAAAAGGGGTGGTGGGGTGGTACGCGGAAAATTGACTGATGTGACGAGTGAGAGTGAGCTGGGAAGGGGTGGAACATAGCACTATTGAGGGGGTAGGGGTAGTCGTTCTCTCCGCGGAGTCTATTTCCGGGCCGCCTTACTGAACTGGCACCGTCGGGTAAAAGGCCGCTCTCGCGAGCCCGGCCCGGCCGGCGGCGGCCCGGCTCTCACGACACTGCGGGGCCGCCCGGGGGCCCGGCGCCGCGCGGCTGCCGCGTACGGTCCCGACCGTCGACGGTCCGACGGTCCGATCCGATCAGTGGACCCGGTACGCCGTTGACTCACGGTACCGTGACCGTACGGTACAGTCGTGTGACCCCCGCCCCGGGCCGAGTCCGCCGATCCCGCGATGATCCCGAGTCTGTCCGGCCGGCGGCGATGATGCGCACTGAGCGGCTCACTTCGACTCCTGCTCGGAGGAGGTCGGCAAGACCCATACCGGGTACCGGGTCGTCGGGGTCCCGGGCGCGGCCCGTGCCGCCACCGGCGGCGGCCCCCGGGTGCCAGTGACAGCGGCGTGACAGTCACGCGGCCCCCGTGTGACCTGCCGGGCCCGCCGCCGGCGGTTCCTTTAATACTTGGCTTCCGGTGCGGGCCCGGAGGTTCCTTGTAGGTCTTAAAAGTTTCAGTCAACTCGAGAACAATTGTTTTTTTTGCCAAGAGCTCTTATTTCTCTTTTAAACTCCTGAAAAGGTGTGTTTCCAGATAATCACCTCCGTGACTCCGGAGTCCCGGTATCTACTTCAATTGCCTTGCCTTGAATCATCCGGCAGACATCTCATTTCTTTCAGTTCTGTTTCTATGTAATAAACCCATAGGTCCTCACTTGAGCCTCCTGGAGCTGGGTTGACCGTCAATCGACCCTGGGAGTCGCTTCTCTGATCCCCCATGACTTATTATTCGAAAATGAGTCTTTTGAATCATATCCGAATATCTCGAGATTTTAAGTACCAGACGAAATGTCTTTTTGACCCCTTGGAATGATCTACAGATACAAACTAAACCGTACAAGATATCCACGTTGAGCTAAACCCTCCTCTCCAGGACATGCAAGGCTCCGGAAACATGGTACATGAGTACCCCCCATTTTGACCCAAAAAGCCAGTCATCAGGGTGGTGGGTACGTGATTTACTCGAAGGCAGTAGTCCTTGATCATGTTTGACTCTCGAGATTGAAGATTTGAAAAGAAGTCTTTTCATATCAGGTAAATCAGATCTCGAGGTGTGATATCCATTCTGCACCCTACCCCCTAGACGCGATGTTAACAACAAGGGGGTGATTGAAAACTTACTTCACACCAACAGAAACTGTCAATTAAATTTCAAATTGTTATTCTTCATGTTATAAACAGATGAAACTATTTGACCACCCCAGTCACTAAAATTTACTTGCATCACCCTACCCCCCTCTTGCTTTCTTGGCTCTTCTTCCCCGCACTCCGTTCGGCAGCCGCGATCTACTTCCTCTCTCCCTCCTTGCACGAACGACAGCAATCCCTCCCTCCCCCCCTCCTGCCCTCCTGCCCTCTCCTCTCCTCCTCTCCCTTCTACCGCTCTCCCGCTCCTTCTCTTCCTCTGCTCCCCTCCCTTCCTTTTCTTCCCTTGTCTCCTCCACACCTTGCCAGCCCCTCGTTCGTCGTGTCACGTGGAGACCACAGCCGCTTTACTTGCGACCTCCTCTCATTTTCTATCGCTCATGGCAGGACAAACAGTTTGCGTGAACGCTCGAGTGAGAGATGGGTACGAAGAGACAACACGCACAGTCAACCTGGATCTTGACATGATAAGGAGCTTGTTTTACCTGAAGCAGGAGGACGCTGCTGTGCAACTGGTAAGCGCGTGCTGTTGCGGAACGTGATGACGCGTCTGACTTTCTTGTCCAGGGCATCTCCCTCACAAGCTTGAAGACAGCCTGCCGCAAACTCGGCATATCGCGATGGCCTTACTCCAGGACCCGGAGCGCTTCTATCACCGGCAGGGATACTTCACGAAGCTCGCCGAGCGAGGCTATGGACCAAGTGATGGAGGAGGAGGTAGAGGGATCGAACGCGAGCATGAGCTGCATGGAGGATGTCTACAGTGATGCTGGCGTGTGTGACGACTGGATGATGGACATGGAGATCGTCAACAACCAGCGGGACTTTGTGGAGCTGGCGTTGAGTGTGCTCCCCAGGGAGCATGATTGGATAGAGTGGTACGTCAGGAGCGACGACAGCGAGCCTGTCATCCGTGATTGGCCTCTCTGAACTCTCCGCCTCCTCCTCTGTAATTTGTG